CCCCAAAACCCCAAAACCCCAAAACCCCTTTTATTGAAGATTATATTGAACTTTATGACTTCAATTGAGAAAGTCCGATTGATGAGTTAAAGGCATACTGCCCTCCTTTAGGAGTACACACTGAATTTCTTTTGTTTCTGATACCAAACACTTTCTTGTTAGTAATGATATTTAAAGGAGATGCCCGATTGGGCTGCTCTATTGAAGTATGGTTGATTTCATTCTTTGTCCTCCCTTCTACCACAGATCTTAGACGTTTTCTAAAACTTATGCTAGTTGGTTTAGTCCTCTTTTCACTTGTATTAATAGATCTACTAGTCATTGATTGATTGAAGAATCTTTCTGCAATATTAAATTTACTAAATAGTTAAGATTGGTTTCTACCTATCTTTTTCATGAACATTAATTCTTGGCGCAACTATATCGACCTTATTTAGGCTGCAATTTCCCTATATCATTCACTTTTCTTGTCTGACAAATGCTAGAACGAACACTCCGGCTCTTATTATTACACTTATTGTATTTATAAAGTTCGAATTGACTAAAATTCATTGTTCTTAATGCTTGTTTCATTAAATCCGGATTCTTGATAACATTTTTAGCAATTGTCTATTTAAATATTCAAAACAGCTAATTACGACTTCTTTGCTCATTACATGGATATATTTCCAATATCGGTCAATGATCTTATCTTTGATCTCGATCTCCTTATTTCTACAGTATAAAATTCCAATGTACTATATTCTCTTTGTATCCATCAAATTGATGGTCTTGTTGCTTATTTCTCCTCTTGCTATATCTCAATTACACTTAGAATACCCATTTTCGTTCCTTCTCTTCGAATTCTTTCAAGAGTGAATTGACGTGGTCTTGGTGTAAAGCTTTTTCTTGGTTATAGAGTTTCTCAAACTTTCGGGCACGGATCTCTGAGCTCCGCCATTCATCTGTCATAGCCTCACTTACATCTTTAGAAAGATGGTATGTCCGTTCAAGGTCTTCGTAACGATCGTTTAAGTTTATTAATTGGTCTCGAACCTCAGTATGGTCTATGGGTAAAATAATGAAACGTACCGAGTTTATAGATCTTTTTCTGAAATGAAGTTTTAGCTGTGTCCATTCCGACAACTTCTCTGATATTCATTTCTCCCTGAAAGTTAATTTTTATCCTCGTTCTGATATATGAGAGCAAAGTCTCTTGGTCCTTGAACATTCCGAATATTTTACCTATATTTTGATAGGAAAATCTGAGAGAGATTTATGCAAAATTAATTTCATCAATAGTTTTAAGGATTCTGGTCAGCAAAATTCATGGAAATATGAAAATTTAGGGGTTAAGATGGTGAATTCAGCATACCTATCAAATATTCTGCTCCCATTAAGTCAATACGAAGGTCTCTGAATTGCTTATTAAGGTGATTCTATATTGGTAAAGATCTGTGGTACCATTTCTTTCTTATACATTATCCCTACATTCATAACTTTTCGTTCATAATGATTTTGAATTTTAGTTTTGATATTCAAGGCCAAGTTCTTCTTCTCATCTTCATGTTGTTTATTTAGTCTAGATACCTCTTCATCGGCTCTCAGTCTCAAATTCTTCTCTTTCTGTAGCTGTAGTTGAACTTTATGAAATTCAGCTTGAAGATGATTCAGCTCAAAAATTTTCCTGTGGAGCATTTCCTCAAATTCATTATTTTGGTGTATGTAGTTCTATATCAAATTCTTCTAAGTCTTCGCCTTCGGCTTCTTCTTTCTCCTTATTAAGAACTTGAAGGACATTTGCTTTATAGTTGTCCTCCATGGTTCCATTAATTCCATCGATCATCTCCTAATCCCATCATCTGACTAATAATCTTATTCTCAGCTGCAGCTGTTCGTTTAATGTTGTCCCAATACTCACGAACATCGACATCTGAGAAAGCTTCTTGGTTGTCTTCGCCTTCATCTATTTCTTTGAAGAGCTTGACCATCTCTTTCTTCTTGTTATATCCTGTAGCAACGTATTTTATTCCATCGTGGTTTGAATTCTGTGATGATAGTTTTGAGCTGAATGTCTATCCTCTCCAACATCAGGGGTAGATATCTTCTCTTTGTTCTGATCAATGCTATGGGATGGTGTATCTCCTACTGGAATTTCAGGTTCTCTTGGACTAGAGTGAGTTTCAAAGGGATTAGTTTTATCCTCCATTTAAATTTCAATAATTATAATAATTTTTGGGGTTTTGGGGTTTTGGGGTTTTGGGGTTTTGGGGTTTTGGGG